ATCAAGCATATTTTATAATATAGACATATTTATTTTTATACCGATCCTTTCATGTTCTTTAATCAGTTACAATAACTTTGTCTTTGTAATTTAGATCTGAAGAACTAGAATGAGTCTGTATGAAAATAGACACATTATGCCTATATATATATATATATATATATATATATATATATATATCAAATGTAGAAAAGGAAATGCTGATATTTACAATTATAAATATAAATGTGTGTGTACGCGTGCCCGTGTATGTGTGTGCGTGTGCGCGCGGAGATAATGTACGTATTATTAAGGCTGTCGATTTTATGCTATACACATATATAAAAGAAGTCATCTTTGCGTTGTATTTTTTGTTTGTTTTTTTTCTTTTGTTTTTTTGTTTTGTTTTTTTTTTTTTTTACCCAAAGAACAGTCAGCCAGAGGCGACAAGATGACAGCGATCATGTTATCAATCGTACCTGATTTGCATGTGCGTAGTTCTATAATCAGCCAATGCATAAAGACGGGGCTTAAGATTTGCATCTGGACGTACATGTCTTTGTAGAGACAAATAAAAAAAATGTGCATATATAATTTACGCTGCAAAGATTTCATGTTAATTCCCTGTCGCCAAAGAGAAATGGCTAGATTGCCCCCGGGGAGTGTCAGCGGGAAGATTATTTGTTTTTACACCTTGCATAGATAGATAGATAGATAGATAGATAGATAGATAGATAGATCTATCTATAAACAAGATAGATTAATGTGAATCGATTGCAATAAACAAGAAAGAAAGAAAGAAAGAAAGAAAGAAAGAAAGAAAGAAAGAAAGAAAGAGGTTGAGGGGAGGGATACCTAGAGTAAAGTGATATTTAGCACTCTAGTACTGTGAATCATTTGCTAGAGGGTTCGATTCTTATAAGATGTAGCATGATTTTGAACTTGTACAATATTTTAACTTAAGGTAATAAATACATCAACAGATAATGGACATAAAACAATTAAGTTGACTGCAGTCTGTCATTCTCTCTCATATATATAAATACATATATATATATATATATATATATATATATATATATATATATATATATATGTATATTTGTATTAATCCTATATGTTTTATTCAGTTAACCACCTTTTCTCAGATAACTAGATTTATCTATCTCTGTGTCTCTCTTTATCTCTCACCACGTCTTTACATATATATATATATATATATATATATATATATATATATATATATATATAAAAGCGGATGGTGAAAAGTTCTGGGTTCGAACAAGATGGAATTGTGAAAAGATGTTTTCACATATTTGGGAAATGGTTTCGACCAGGAACTTTTTCCTATCACACGTTCTCAACACCTGAAGATTGCGTTGTGCATAAAACTCTGAGTCATGCTACCGGTGAGGAATATGTATTTATTAATATCTACTTAATAGCTCTGTTATATTGCATCGAGCACCATTTTATTAATGCCGGCACTCAATGTGCGATATCTTATATTCATATCTTAATATATATATATATATGTGTGTGTGTGTGTTTGTGTGTGTGTGTGTGTGTGTGTGTGTGTGTGTGTGTGTGTGTGTGTGTGTGTGTGTGTGTGTGTGTGTGTTGCGGACGAAATGCGGTGTTGATAAATTTTAATACGATTTTACATCGCTAAGATATTGGACATTTTCTACCATTTTTAGCATTTTTTCTTCCTTTGTATAAATTTGCTATTTTATACGCTTTTTTTTATATTATTTATAGACATACAGATCAACTGTTCTATCTATATATATATCTATCTATCGATATATATATATATATATATATATATATATATATATATATATATATATATATTCACTTTTGCTTTTGTGTATAGTTAACAAGCTGGTCAGTGTCAATACTCATTAGGTAGTCAGAACCCCATACATGTAGCTTTTGCTCAAACCCCAAAATATAATTCATTTCATATATATATATATATATATATATATATATATATATATATATATATACAGAGAGAGAGAGAGATCATCACTAATTTAGTCCAAAATAATTCAACAATAATAATGTCATCATAAATTCCATTTCCAATGATTTTCTCTTTCTTCTTCCCTTTCTCTCGCACTCTCTCTCCTTGTATCCCTCTCTCACGCTTTCTCTCTTTATATATATATGTGTGTGTGTTTGTGTGTTTAGTGCGTGTGTTTGTGTATGTGTGCCCGCCTAACTCTGTCTCGCTCTATATTTCTACCTAGCAGTCTATCAAAAAGAGTTAAATAGATAAATAGAGAATCTATTTATCCTTTTATCTTCCTCTCCAGATAGATAGATAGATAGATAGATAGATAGATAGATAGATAGATAGATAGATCTGAGAATGAAAGAGCCTGTCGAACAAGCATATAGAAATAAAGCATCTCGTTACCGGGGTTACGCATTAACACGCGTCACTCCCATATCTTGTTTCAGCTAGCAGCGCCAGTGATCGAGTCACGAGTGACACCGGTTCTTAGTGCCCTCTGCATGTTACCAGCTTCCCCGCAACCAGTGGATAAGCGGCTGATTCGGTTACGCCACCGGCTGTCCGCTTTCAAATGAATAAGATTGAGGAAGCGAAAAGAAGGGCTTCTGCCTCTTTGATTTGCCGAAACAAAAGAAACATTGCAGCAACAGCATTTCGTCTTGTCTATTTCAGGCTGTTCGTATCTTATCTCTTTGTAATATCCTGAGAAAGAAAGAAAGAAAGAAAGAAAGAAAGAAAGAAAGAAAGAAAGAAGAGTAATTTTGAAAAGACAGAAAGAAAGAAAGAAGAGTAATTGTGAAAAGAAATAAAGAAAGAAAGAAAAAAGAGTAATTGTGAAAAGAAAGAAAGAAAGAAAGAAGAAAGAAAGAAAGAAAGAAAGAAAAGAAGGAAGAGTAATTGTGAAAAGAAAGAAAGAAAGAAGAGTAATTGTGAAAAGAAAGAAAGAAAGAAAGAAAGAAAGAAAGAAAGAAAGAAAGAAGAGACAGAGGAAGAGTAAAATAGAGAGATCGATGAATAGCGATTGGCGAACTGGTTTCACTCGTTACTCTCTAAAATGAATTCGACCCTAATTTGTAGTGTCTTTGGTTCTTGTTAAGTTAACAATTTTTGCATTGGTACTAATCTTAGCAAAACCAGAGAGATAAGTTGAGGAAGATTGTGCTACGCCAGTACAAAAATACGTGATTATTTCGCGAACAAAGCAAACCAGTACCCATCAATGTTCGTCCAGTTTTTACTTTTCCCTTTCTTCCCGTTTTTTATCCCACCCACCCTCTCTCTCTCTCTCTCACTCTCTCTCTCTCTCTCTCTCTCTCTCTTTATCTCCATAGACACACACACGCGCACACACACACAGATAGATAGATAGATAGATAGATAGATATAGATAGATAGATATTGGTCAGTTCGTATTTATCAGTACAATTGGGCGTATTCTTTTCGATCAAACCCTAACTTTCACATTCATAAGTCTGTTCGTTTTTATTTCGAACAATTTCCCATTTTCATCTATTTCAGTTTGTTCATATGTATACATCTATCGATTTCAGTCCATTTGGATCTTTCTTTCTCTGCCTATTTATTAATCTTTTCTCTCTCTCTCTCTCTCTCTCTCTATATATATATATATATATATATATATATATTAATGTTCATAAAGATCTTTTGAAGCTGTTGTCAACTATCCATATGTATTTATCTATCTCAGTCGAATTATATATATATATATATATATATATATATATATATATGTCTTCTATTATTATCTATATTCTATTTATCTATCTTCATCTCTCTTTTGTAACTAGTGATGTTGACCTGATGAACCAGGAAAAATATATTTTCTCTGGGAAATAAATTATAGTCATGGAAACTTAAATTTGTCTATTTCTTAATTAATTAATATTTGCTCTGGTATTACATTGAGCTCTCTGGATCACATCCATTTTGGAATTATCCACACGGATTACCAAACCCTCCATTACCTTACTATCTATCTATCTATCTATCTATATATATATATATATATATATATATATATATATATATATATATATATATATATATATATGTATGTAGATTCATAAATCTGGTTCTTTATATATACAAGCGAATGGATATTCATTAAATCTGATTTTAATTGTCCAGAACAAAGTATTCATTTTTGAAGGAATCGATGAGCAAAACATAGCTTCTGAAAATTATAATAATCAATTAGTGCGCTGTATACAGCTATCATTCACCGCTATTCATGTAGGGCATCAAGCTGTAGCAAGGTCAGCCTTTCGCTGCCCTCTCACTTCTGGCCTACACTGTATTGGACATGAATTTAACTTTCGTCTAGCATCAATTTAAACGAACCAATAAAAAGAAAGTTATTTTTTTCCGTTGATCCTGAATTAACTCACATCCGTGCCAAACGAGCTTGACATTTTTTTTTTTCGTTTTCAAGTTTGTATTTCTTTCTTTTGCCTAAATCGTCCCATATGTTCAGCACATGACGTCTAAACGTGATCATTGCTTTTTCCCTGATCCTTATTTCAAAGGTCGATTAGATTTCTTCGGTTACAATGATCCGCTTAATGCCCGTTTACTTGTTGCTGTATTTGTATCTATGTTCTTGGGCGATATTTTCTGTTTTTGGTATATCCTGAACTCTGGCGTTAGTGAGTCGGGGGTACGATGCTTTCCACCCAGGTTGCTATCCATATTGCCATGTCTTTCTCGAAGCCGAAGAACCCAAATGTTCTCTCACCCGGTCTGAAGCCTTTTACTACTTATTTAATGAGTATGTAATCGAAATTTCTTGGACACATAATGAGGAAAGATGGCTTGGAAAATCTGACACTCATAGGATTTACTGAAAGCAAGAGGTTGGATAAAGAGAAATGGCGAATGGCCTAAAGCGCTTGAGTAAATCGATGGCAAAATAGAGAGCAGAAAGGTTAGTATAAATATTGCTTAGAACTACAAAGAATAGAAAGTTGTGAAGAGCTATAAGCGCCAGCGAGATGGCACGTAGAAGAAGAAAAACCTGTTGTAGTATAAGCAGTAGCCTAACTAAATTCCTTTAAGAAGTTTATTATGTTTCGAGAAGACTTCTCAAGGCCTCCATGGTTGATCGAAGCTGTTTTAAAACAGAGTTTTGCCAGGACGGCCCACATGATTTAATATCAAATTTAATTCGAGGTTTTAATTTGAGATGAAGCATTGTCGTTATTAATCTCTTGTAATTGTTATTTTTATTAGCTTAATTCCCTTTTATTGCAACTTACACGTCGATCTTAAATCTATTCTGCGACCGGAAAGTAAGCTTCATAGGAGAGAAATACCGTATATACTCGTGTATAAGACGGCTTCTTCTATAATGCAACCTCTATTCTTTCTTTTTTTCTTTTTTTTTTGTACGCAATACTAGTTGGGCCTACCGTAGTCACATATTGCAGTACTGACCATCCTAAATGTTCCTCTTTTTTTTTTCTTCTTTTTTAATTTTTTTTTATACAAAGCTACCCCCAAAAAGATAAGAAAAAACATTAACCGTAAAATGTTTGATACGAAGATTTAGATACCGTACTTTTGTTTTCATTCATGCCTGATTTTTAACCACTTCAAAAAAAAATACTTGTATATAGTGCACCACCACTCCTAATTTTGCATTACTGATCGTAAAAGAAACACGTACTATATTCGAGTATATATGGTAAAGAATAACGTTACTTACTCAAGCCCTCTGTTGAAAATCATTTGCCCTTAACCCCCTGTAAAAATGGCGTAAAATAATTTTAGTGTTCAAATTCTTACTCACGACCCACTTGACTTGAAGATCACCCCCTCCTCAAAATAGTCTGTTGACAGACCTGTATTTATCATTAACTATAAACAACTATTATAATATAATATTAATATTAATTAATATTAAAAAAAAAAGAAAAAAAAAAAAAAACACCGGAGAGTTCCGGTATAAAACGCAACAGAAATTAAGACAAAAGAAAATTAGTACAGTGTAACCCGGATATAAGAGAGTTGTCGGGACCGGAGAAGAAGTCTCTTATATCCGGGTTTCTCTTATATCCGGGTTTGGTCTATTTTATATACATTAACACAGGCTCTAATTTGGGACCAGAGAAAATCTCTCTTATATCCGGGTTTCTCTTATATCCGGGTCTCTTATATCCGGGTTACACTGTAATAAAGTAAAAGTTAAAAAAAAGAATAATAATTTCGGATTTATTTTATTTTATTCTATTTCTTTTTGCTTACAACATCAAAAATTCATGCATGACTTCACTTAGTACCTACTAAGTAAAAAGTTGTTTAACTGAAATTTTCAAGCGGGAAACAAAGTGTCGGCGAGTTTCGATCGAAAAATGTATGAAACTATCAAATTGTAATCATGAAAAATGTGTACAAGATAAAACCAAAGATTTATAAACAATGGTTGTTTAACTTAAAGATTTAAAGCAGAAACGTGGGTACCCAATGAGGATCGATTTTCCTATTAATAACTTATAAAAAAAAAGTCTATTAACCATTGTGCCCCTTTAACGCTACACCGTCAAAGGCCGTTTTATTTACTGGTGAATGCAGTATTTATTTTAATGAAACCTAAACGTCTGAAAATGTACCATATGTGTATATATTTTTCTCGGATTTTAAAAAAATACGAGTGACTAAATTATTATTTCATTAAATGGGCGGATTCAGTTCATTGATTTAAAAAAATATGGTGTGCATCAAGTAAAAATTGTCAACTTTTTTTCTTAAAAATTAAACAAATTATTCTTTTGACGTAATATAAAAAGAAAATTAAATTCTTAGCTAAAGACCAAATTATTTCCTTTTTCTCTCGCTAATGAAGCATGAAGGGTATCGTTATGGAAAGACACTTGATAGGGAAAATAAGGGAAAAAAAGTGGAAATATAGAAAGAAAGAAAGAAAGAAAGAAAGAAAAAAAGAAAGAAAGAAAAAAAGAAAAAAAGAAAGAAAGAAAGAAAGAAAGAAAGAAAGAAAGCGGGAGATAAAACAAAAAGAAAAATACAGAGAAAGGATATAGAAAAAGTAAGTTTGGAAGGGAAAGGCGAGATCTCATTATTTGTAAAATATGCGAAGACGAAAACAAAGAAAGAGAAAAAAACAAATATGGAAAAGAAAATAGACGAATAGTAAATATTTATGTATAAAAGAAAGAAACACTAGTAGCCGGAGTCAAAAAAAAAAAAACACTAAAAAAAAAAACCACAGAGCGTTAGAGAGAAAGAGGGAATAGCTACTACTGCAACTACAAGTGATAAAGGCCCTACGACGATGACGACAGAAGATAATAATGACACGAAATTCTGCCGCTACCATTTTTCCCCCATTTTTACAATTATCTACAGATTTTTTTTTATTTCCTCTTTTGATTTATTTCATTTCCTATTTGTTTCCGAGCTTCAAAAAAAAAAAAGACAGATTTTAAAGGCATTTTGGGCGAAAGTAATAATCGAAGCAT